TGTCTTGGGTCTTCCCAGGCAGCCATATATGTTCCCTTTACCAGACAAGGTGTTTCTCAATCAAGGATCAAGGGAAGTATTGTAGTCAAGTTGTAGAAACACTGCTTTACCCTGCTCCTAGCTTTCTCCCTTCTTTATTCCCATTGGGGAAATATCTTAACCAGAGCCAACTGCCCAACCTAGCTTGTACCCTGGGGATCAAAAAGATCCTATGGTACCAGACTTTTATTGTCATGGACATAGCAGAGCTGAAATGGATGGGTAACTGTTGCTGGTATCAGGAAGTCATAGTCAACATTGCTCTGTCCAGTAACCTGTTTTAGTCTCCTTTCCTGTATTGGGTTTTCCAATAGTAAGTGTGCAGTACATATTAGGAATGGTTTCACTCCAAAGACATTTTTATAAGTTCTTTGCTTAAGATGGCAATTCATCAGGTATACCAAAAACGTGACCAGTGCTTCCACAGTATATCACCTGTAACAGTTTTCTGTGTTAATACTTAACTTGCTAATAGGTCAGTCTCCCTTTGTTGGTATCGAGTCCATCATTCCCCCTGCTTGTTGTCCTGTCCTACCTGGAGTTCCCAGAGTTAACTAAGAGGTGAAGGTATTTTGAAAGTATATCAGGTTTTGTATTTACACTTAACCTAGTGGGACCAGAACAGCTTTGCAGCACTACACAGGCTATCCAACAGCTCAGAGGCTGCAAAGGGCTTTATTTACCCTCACGTGATCTCCCTTGCTGACATGCGGGACCTTCCCTTATTCCAGCGGTAAGACCAGCCACATCCAATTATGTGTGTGTATATATGTATGTATATATATAAATATGTATATACTTATATATATACATATGTATATATGTATGTATATAAATATGTAATATATATTATATATATAAATATGTATATATATACATACATATATATAGTGTGTATGTGTATGTTTGTACACACACAGAACGTAGTATTTGTTCAGATGCTTAACCATTCCATTAATATTACCTGGGAAAAGGGGAGGTTACTTACTGGAACAGGATTCTGAGCAGACTGTTAGCACTGCATGCTTGATCCTTGAACTGCCTTTGGTGGTATGCCCACTGTTTGAGCCCAAGGTTCATTATGGGATGGTTTAGACAGTTATCTTTAATTCTTCCTTTGGCAGTCTTATGGTCAGTTTTCGTCAGTTTCCTTTTCTTAGGACCAGTTATTGCCCCCTTTACTATTTGCCCTCAAACTCTTGCTAACACGCGGTAAACTCTTTACAGGCAGGGATTAAATCCTTTTATCTTTCCACACCAAGCACAGTACCTGGATTCTTACCTTGCATGTTGTAGGAGCTTAACAAATGGCTTATAGGTAAATTAATTAATTATAAATGAGACTTCTGGATAACCTGTGTCTTATTGAGCTTCTAATTGTTTCCTCAGCAGCATTAAGGGAAAACACAATTTCCCCAGAGCTATGCTTTATCTTAGTTAATGTTGTTTCAGAGAGGGACTTTGTCATGATAATATAAAATTATGATTAAATAGAAACAGCCATTTATTTCTCTTTTACTAATAGCTCCACAGAAAACACCATTTGTTAAATGGAGAAGCAATTGGAAAGGAAAGATTTTCTCCAAGTATTATAATCAAGGCATGGTATAGAGTTTTAAAATGATTTATACTTCATATGTAGGGTTTTCTCAGTTAATATATCCACTTATTAGGCATTAGGAAATTTTGAGTGTGGCACAGGGTTATGAAACAGATCCACAAACATGGAAGTAGAAAGAGACTGTATAGTTTGAATAAGTTAATGCTGCTCTACTAAACCTAATGTTTTCCTTCTGCCCTTTCTTCATTTAGTAACTAGGCCATTTCCCCCGGTACATTAAGTATGGCCTAGGAGTGAGTGAAAACTTTTGAGCTGCTACATTAAATCATTTTAGGACAGTGGGAGTAGGAGTTACCAAATCATTGCTTAAGGGAACCAGATCATGCGCTAAGAAGGGTAAATGCGATTTACTCATGGGCCCAATATAAAAGCAAACGGTAGCTTATGCACTGGGATATCTCAATGCAGTGTGTGATCTCCCTGTACCCTGCTGACTCTTAGATTCTGAGTCTGATTCAAACCCGGCCACTGCTAACCCATTTGCCTTTGTGAAAATTAGAAAAATGTGCCCTTCCTTGAGTAAAATTTTTTAGTATGTTATGCAGAACAATTGAACAATCCTATGTTCAGGCCTGAAAAACGTAGGAATTTAGATGGGTACCTTTCTGGCCTTGTTTGGTGATTCTGGACCCCACCCTGCTGTAAGGAGGGAGGGGAATGAGGGGATGGGGTTGGGGAGCATTGGCTTGAGGATTTAATCAGTAGCATCTAGCTTCAGTTCACCCAAATGGTGGTTTCATAAATCAAACTATTTTTTTTTTCGTGAGGAAGATTCGTGCTGAGCTAGTATCCGTTGCCAGTCTTCCTCTTTTTTTTTGCTTGAGGAAAGTTGTCCCTGAGCTGACATCTGTGCTAGTCTTCCTCTATTTTGTATGTGGGACACTGCCACAGCCTGGTCTGATGAACAGTGTATAGGTCTGTGCCCGGAATTGAACCTGCAAACCCTGGGCCACAGAAGCGGAGCATGCAAACTTAACCACTAGACCACTGGGTCAGCCCCTCAAACTTATTTTTAAATCAGTGACCAGAACATCTGCGTTCTGTTAAGAATCATACAAAACTGCTGCTGAGGACATGCCCCTTTGGCTCTGCGGGATTGAGATGTGGGGGCCCATAACTCTGTCAGGGCTCACATACCTCTGGCAGTGCATACATTCTCCCACCCCCACTCTCATCCCCATAAATCTACCCTGTTTGGTATAGAAAATGAGCCAGTCAGAAGTGGGGCTCCTAGAGCTGGGGACTGGTGTTGGGATGTGCCGGTGGGTGTGCAAGTGCCTGGCTCTCCCAAGTATACGCGTGTTGTGGGTGCCAACGTGGAGTTACATCACAGAGAACTTTCCTCATGGCCTTAGGTTTCAGCTGGGAGACCCAGTATCTCTTCTCCTGCCATCATATATATTCTCATCTCACTTCACACATGGCTACTTTGTGAATACTGCCACCCCTCTCCCCAGCTATGGCGCTCTTGTACTACCCTGGATTCAATTTATATAGATGTATATAGCATTCTGTTACGTACTCAAAATGTTCCTATATTAAAATGAGCACTTTAATGTTTAAAGTAGAATCTTGAACATTTTTAACTTAGAGTTTCCACATTTTACTTTTTTTAAATTAATGCTTGTATTTTTTATACTTTTGGTTTTTTAAATAGAATATAACTAAAGAAATTCAGACCACATATTGTAAAAGGTAAAAGCATGTATTAGTTATCCATCCCCTAATTGTGTCGTAGGAACTACAGAGCCCCCTGCATGTCTGAACAAAACGCAATGTATGTTCCCTTTAAGGCTCTGAGGTTGTTCAGCACGTGCTAATATGAGCTTGGAGGTAAGAGAGAGAGGCTTTCTTATGTCACGGTGCCCTAGAGACTCAGTCGGGAGTGAGTTCAAAGCCCCTAAAGACCTCAAGCTCCCACCAAAATACAAATCTCAGTGTAAGGTTATTCTTGTCCTCAGTGTTAGACTGGATTGGAAAGACAAGTCTAATGAGCTTTCATTTAAGAAGTGTCTTTTAGTGACATAAATTCACGTTGAGAATGTAATTTCACCATGAGGTTGTTTATCTAGTCTTTTATTTTTAAATTTTATATTATGGGAAATTTCAAACATAAACAAAATTAGAGGGAATAAGATAATAAACCCATATGCAGTATTACTCAGTTTCAACAGTTGACATTTTGTCAGTCATGTTGCCTCGAACGCTTCTCCTTTTTCCTTTGCCCCACAGTATTTCAAAGTAGATTTCAGACACCATGTCAATTCACCTGTAAATATTTCAGCATTTATCTCTAATTCATAAGGCGTTTTTTTTTCAACATAACCGCCATGCCATTATCATACCTATAAAATTAAGAATTCCTTAATGTCACCTAATACGCTTCCACACAAATTTCCCTGATTGTCTCAAAAACATCTTTTTGCAGATTGTTCAAATTAAAATCCATCTAAGGTTTATACATTGTATTTGGCTGTTTATGTCTCTCGGGTCTCTTTTTTCCTATGTTAATAAATTTTTATATTTTGTTCTTGTGTTTTCTTGTAATTTATCAAGGGAGCTTAAAAGGAAAAATTGCTACCAAAATTAATGCATTAGGCTTTATCTTTAAATTGTTTTGTACATTCTTTACGTTTTCAGATCCATACATACTTAATGCTGAAATGTGAAGGGCTGGGAAAATGAAAAAAAAAAGAGGTTTTCCTTTTGTGATTTGGAAACAGGCATGAATTGATTTTATTACTCAACAGCAGAAACCAAATGCAAAAATTTGGCCACCATCCTATTTGAGTTCAGATAGGTCTGTGTTAAATCACATTTTTAAACTACAATATAGTTTGACCTAACCAAAATGTCACTTTAATTATGAATATGAAATTGGTAAATAATGAGCTCTTGGCTTCTGGGATCTTACCTTTTTTATCTTTCAGATTGGGGGTTTGTATTTCAGTATAGTAAATTCAAACTGAAACAATGTTTTCTTACCAAACGTGTGAGTGTTGGTATCTCCTCTACTTTTACCAATTAATGAGCCTAAATGGCTTGTCCATTTGTTAGTGTTCCCATTGAGTTTATTCTGATATCTCAAAAGCATTGTTCTTTGTAAAAATAGTTTAATCGTGTATTTGCTTCTTTCTTAGAATACTTATTTTGCTATTCTCCCAGGTTGGTGCATCATTTTCTTTCAATATGGATAGGGTGACAGAAAAGAATTTCTTCTGCCACTATAATTTTAACACTGCCATGCTTGATATAAATTGTGCAGTACTGCTAAAATGCCTCAAAATTTTACCATTTCTTTTTATAAACTCTCAATCTTGTGATATCTTTCCTTTCTTAGTATATGAACGAGTCTGCCAAACAAGAAGATATTTTGGAATCCACAACAGATGCTGCGGAATGGAGTCTAGAAGTGGAACGTGTACTACCACAACTGAAAGTCACGATTAGGACTGACAATAAGGTACAGAAGAGAGAGCACGTTTTGTTCAAACAGATTTTTCTAGGCAATTTCAGGGTCAGAGGTACTCCCAGTTATACAGATGATTTAAGAAAGGCAGTAAGATTTCAGTTTCCAATGTTTTGTCTTAATAGAGATTTAATAAATTGTTGTTGAATGAACAAATAATGTAATACGGTCCAAAAAACAGGAAGTAGATCTTCAAAGTGATTTGGAACACATCCTGTTTCCCCGGGATTGAGGGGTATTTTCTCAATACATTTCAATATATTTTATTGGTAATCATATTTTGTTTAGGTGAATAGTGAATGAAATTGGAATTCTATGACTGTAAACCAGCTAATTAGAGTTAGAAGATGGTTTAGAACTCTGCTGGATGGCAAAACAGAAGGCATCCTGGAAGTTGCCTTACATTATCTATTCAGTACATATGATTAAAAATTAAATAATAAGAAATCATATGCAATAAGATTGGGGTTTAGGCCAGATGAACTGGCCCATTTCATCACATTTCTACTTTCTTTTTACCTATAATTTATAAGAATTTCAGAGCAAGCTAATGGGTGACTAGACAATACTATTCTCATTAGTACTATAATAATCTCTACAAAAGGTGCTAGAGAGACATGTAGGTAAAGAAACTGAAGGATTTTCATCGTTGGAGGCTGAAGACAAGCCCCAACATTATGGAACAAGGTTCTAGGGAAGCTTGTCACTCTGAAAAATATGGTTCCGTGTCTGCCCCCAAGTGAAGCCCTACAAAAGTTGCTATTTTCAGAGTGCCTTGGAAGCTAATTCATTCTTAGACTGTCTGGATTTGGGATTGTAGAACTGTATCCAAGGCAGTCCTAGAACAGGATAAGGACAGCAGAGGTCTTACTAGACTGTGAACAGCTGTGGAGCAAACTTGAAGGTGAGTGAGTAAATCCTGCAGCCTGTTTACCATGTATTTACCCAGTCACTATGGAGGCCAGCTATGATTTGACTACACTGGCCGTGAATTCTTTGTTTACTTATCATGTATGTGTCAATACATATTAATAAGAATTTCTTCACTGATTAGACCTCTACTGGAAGTCCTAATTTGCAAAAAGGAACTGTTTTTGTAAAAATGTAATTTCTGATTCTTTAGTTTTGTCAGAACAAATTCTCTTCAGAAAATTAAAAATCACTATTATTGTGATTCTAGTTAGAATGACATGTTAAAATAATTGTGTAGTTGGGGACTCTCAAGTACGTCCTGATCCCACAAGGAAGCAAATTTAATTTGCTTATTTTCAAGCTAAGTAAACTCTTGGAATCAAACATCTCATTTAGAACCTGATAGGATTACATGAGAGTGTTTTTTCAAGCATGGTCTGCGTAGTAGAAGTAACTGAATAAAGAAAGAATGTAAATATAACTGCTAACACATAGAGTTTTACAAAACTAAGTGCAGGTCAAATTCTGTTATAAAACTCCTGGGTTCTTAAAGAATCAATGTTCTCCTAATTTGCGGAAGATTAGTTGAAAATTGGACTCTTAGTCTCATGCCATACATTACCAGCCTTGATCTTATGAGGATATACTGTGCCAAATTAATCATACAATCAAGTTTTACAGGCAACTTTCTAAAATGTCAGATAAAGTTTTAGTGAGTTTTTTTGTTTTTTAGTATTTTTTAGATTATGTGAATATCATTTTGAATTTAGATTTTTGTGGTAAAACATGCTGACCTGGGGCTGGCCCGGTGGCGCAAGCGGTTAAGTGTGCGCGCTCCGCTGCAGCGGCCCGGGGTTCGCCGGTTCAGATCCCGGGCGTGCACCGACGCACCGCTTGTCAAGCCATGCAGTGGCGGCGTCCCATATATAAAGTAGAGAAAGATGGGCATGGATGTTAGCCCAGGGCCAGTCTTCCTCAGCAAAAAAAAAGAGGAGGATTGGCAGATGTTAGCTCAGGGCTGATCTTCCTCACACACAAAAAATATATGTATTTTAAAACATGCTGACCTAAAGTCACATGTGATTGCTTTTTCATTTTCAGAATTCTTCTCTAGATCCTGTGGTCTTTGTGTCCAGTGTTTCACAAACTCTTCTTTCTTCTAAGTAGTTCAGATTTAGCAAATGGGAAATACAGCTTTAGGGTCAATTCTTAATTCAGCTTACTTAAGAAAAATAAATTATATGTTGATTTGAGAAAATAAGGGACTAATGAATAGAAAAATGTATTTCATGTCTCAGAAATAAAAGTAATCTGGTTACATATGAGGTTTCTCATGGACTCATTATCCTCCTTCATCAGAAGAGGTGGACTCCATCATCGTGGTGGATCCCATTCTTCGTCAACTCCTGACTCTACCAAAACCAAACCTTCTCCTTTTCTTTTGTCCAAAACAATACCTTTTACTCAACACAGGCGATTTTGGACATTTAGAGATTTCAACTTTGTGTTTGAGGGAAAAAAAAGAAATTATCTTCAAATCAATGTGTTTTACTGATCACTGTTAGATTAAGTAGCATAGATATTTGGGAGATAAATAATAAAGGGCCTCCATTATTTAAATCTAGTATAAATTTCTTTAAAATGACCTTGTGTTAGTAGTAAATAAGTCCCATCTTTATTTGGCACTGGATCAGATGTTTGTTTTGCTTTTTTTCCTCACAAGTTTAGTTTATTCCTTGTATGCTTCTTAGCAGGGAATTACAAAAAAAAAGTAAATCTCCTTTTCTGTTCTTTTTGCATATTATAGTATGCATGCTTTGATGAGATCCTGTCATATACCAATATTTTATTTGTTATCTCCTCCATAATGTTGTAATTAGGTTTTTATTGCTAGGCTAGCTTATTCCTGCTGTTTCTGGCACCACTTGTTACTGTTTGCCCGTTCTCAAAGAATGCAAACAAATTTTAATATAAGCTTGAACAAATTACAATTGGGAAAATAAATATGTTGCCAAAAATACAAATAATATGTTTCACAACTGAAGATAAAGGATTTTTGTCATATGCTAGCTTGAATGGACTATATTAGTAGCTCCCTTTTTAGAGTTGGTTATAGAGAATGCTCCTGCTGGTTACTTCTACTGTAGTTATTTACCCAGAGACCAACTCAGATCTGCCCCAACTGGGAATCGTGTGTGTCAGAAGTTCTGCCAAGAGAGTCAATAAATTCAGCCAAATCCTAGGTCATTGCATTCTAGTTAATGCCTCAGTTATGACTGAGTGAGGCCGGCTCAGGAGTCAGTTCCTTAGAAGGGCAGTCTGAGGACACCTAAACTAGAGTGGACATCAGTGCCACCTAATAAAGTCATCTGTGGGTGTTGTTGGCACACTGCAACTCCACATCTTGTACTTTTGGTTCTTTCCCTCATTTTTTCTCTTTATTTCCCTTACCCTTTCCTCTTCTGCTGAGTTTTTATTGTTCTTTATTAGACCCAATAGTGATGCCCACAAGTGTTACAAAACTACTCTGGTGGAAGTGAACACTAAGAGCAAACATCTGTGATTATGCTCAGACTAGACTTGAATCTGTAACTAGTCAACAATTCTCCTAATCTCTGAGTCTTTTTAAAATACAATTTTGTTTTTAATTATAAAAATATATGGAAGCAATAATTCAAGGGGATAAGGGGCAGGCAGTGTGCTGTGGATTAGAAGCTAGCAATCACACACCACTCTCAATTCCTGATTTATTGAGCCAAAGCTTCAGAAACGTGGTGGGACTGTGGTGGCAATAAAGACCCAGAGAAGATGGGGCCTATCTCACACCTTCCCTCAGTACCCAGAATTCATATTTACATCACTCATTAGCTGAGTGACCCAGGGCAAGCTACCATACCCCTCTGTTCCTCCTTTTCCTCCTCTGTCAAATGGGACTAATTATATTATTTACCCCACAGAGTTGTTGTAAAGCACTAAAACAGTGTCTGACACAGTGCTAATGCCTAATAAATGTTAATTATCGTTACATTACAGTATTGTTATCGTGCTATTATTGTGTTCTATCGTAGCCCTCTTTATTCAGTGCCTATATCAGTATTCGGGAAGAATTTACAAAATTTCTGCACTAATGCGTCTATCATTTAAGGGAATATTTATAAACATCAGCTGTATATTCTTACGTGGGGATGTAATCGGGTTCATATAAATATCACTTGGTAAATCCAGTTTTATCCCTTGTAAAGGTATATATAATATAATAATAGTAATAACTGACATTTACTAAGTGTTTACTGTGTACCCAGTGCTGTTCTTAGCACTTCACACATATTAACTCATTTAACCCTTTCCGATGAGATGCTGGTACCTTTTACTAAGAAAAGGAAACTGGAACATGGAGAAGTTAAGTAACTTGCCTTTGCCTAGTGAGTGACAGATACGATATCTGAACTTACGACCCAGGCTCTTACCTAGTCGATTAGCGACAATACAGTGTACTGGTTGAAAGCACAGATTCTGAATCCAGGTTGCTTGAGTACAAATCCTGGCTCTAACGCAGCTGTTGGACCCTGTGAGCAAGTTACCCAACCACTCTGGGCCTCCATTTCCTCATCTGTAAAATGGAGTTTGTTATAAAAGCTACCTCCAAGAATTATTAAAAGGATTAAATGAGTTAACCTGGCTAAAGCACTTGGAATGGTGCCCGAAGACTCACTGACTATGTTGACCACTGTTCTGTGCACTTTCATGTGCAGTTAAGATGACTCTTGTTTTTTTTTTTTTTTTTTTTTTTAACATATCGTTACATCATGAGCATTTCCACACACCCTTAAAAATTGTAAACCGTAGCTTGAGATCGCTGTCCCTAGTGCTGGAAGGTTACCCTCAGTCCGCAGCTGAGTGCTAGATAGTGGAGATGACTCGGCCACGCTCAGCAGTTGGGTCAGACCCGGAGGAGTAGCATCTGGTTGGAGGAAGGATGGGGCAGAGCCATGTAAGAGCTGGTGGTGAGAATGTGGCCTGTCCGTTGTCCATTTGTAGATTCTGTCTCTCAACTTCATTCATTGAACCAAGGGAAATGGCTT